TAATCATTGGATGTTGTTTAGCATGTCTCCTGACTGTAATCGCTATTCCTGTTCAAAGCTACCATTGTTTTAGCCATCTACCTCTATCACCCAAGAGACTTGAAAACCTATTTTTTTGTTTTCAATTGCTGTAGTAGAAAGGTCTACTTCCTTTCAGAAGAGGGATCTGTGTGTAATTCTGTGACTGTATTGAAGGAAATAGTGTCTAAGTACAAGGTTAGAAAAATCTCCTAGGTTATAAAGGGCTGTCTTTTACTCTTGGAGACATAATGTCATTTTACAGGATTTCATGTCATCAAGACTCCGATTTTGTGTATTTCTGTTAATAGCTGGGTCACCTTTACAGCAGTCACTGTGCTTGCTTCCCTTAAGAATATTAGGAGCTAATAGCAGTAAAACAAGTGTGTGTGCGTGCATGTGCGTATATGATTTAGTGTGGTAACAATTTCAAAGTTTCTACACATGGTATTAAAATCAAGCTGAAAATACTCTTCCTTTAACTTTTTCATACAATTTATGAGAGCTTATATGGCATTTGCATAATTCCAGCACTGCTGATTGCTCATGGCTAGAGTGGTTTATCTTGTGATCCCACACTCCAGCTGTGCACTTTGGCAAAATAGTGACACAGGCTTCTTAGTTACACGCTTTGTCCACATGGAACTGCATCCAGTCATTCACAGGCATTCAGCTTGCAATTGGATTTCAGTTCCACTTGCGTTTTCATGGAAGATCAGTCCCCTAGGAAGCCATTTGCTGAGGGTAAGTTTGATCCTACAGTCATCTTATTCTTGATTTCAAGTCCTCATTGCTGCAGTTTCTGTGCAGTCAGCACTTAACTTAAACTACACAGACTATGAAAGTGTTTTAGCATACACAGAAGGGAAAGGGACAGTGAAGTCAGGTGGGTGTGCCCACAGAACATACATTACATTCATCAGTTGTTTCAGCACCATCTTTTGTTTAGTGCCTCCAGTGTGTAACAGAAAAGCACATTCTTTTAGCGTGCTGAATGGAGGAAGCATAAATGAAATTGTAAAATGCAAAATTGTTAGTCCAGTGGATACTAAGGGTACAGTACAAGTATGCCACAGTTGGAAGCATTCACTTCTTTGTCCTGTTGATATGGATCCATTTTAAATTACTGTAAAAAATGGCTGTGATTAATAGCAGTGGTAGAGTTATTTGAGATATTGTGAAAACACACCTTCACAGCTGTGGTGTTTTGGTTTTGTCTGTGTGTATGTGTGTATAGCTACTGGAAGACACTAGTTTTGGTTCTGCTTTCACAGCAAATTTGTAACCAATACACATTAAAAAAAAAAAAAAAGAACAAAACCAACTCAAACACAGCAACAGTGGCTGTCTGTTCAATTTTGTTGTCTAGCTAGGTAGGTTTGGAACATGATATCATTGTATAGATTGCAGAATTGAATAGTGATGTTAATCCAAATCTGCTTATTTTGAATAACATTTTTGTTTGCGTACACTAGTGCTCTTGGTATAGATTTTTGCTCGACCAAAGTATTCCTGTTTAGTTTTGTGGCATGGTTTGTATCTATTCAGCATAAAATTCTGTTAGGTGTAAAAATGACAAAGTACTGGTAATCCTTATTCATTGGGGTTCATGAGAGCTGTCATTTTTATTTGTTTACATTAAACTAGTCTTAATTTATACAGATTACTTCACTTTTTCCTCTATACCTAGGGAAGTCACTTCCAAACAGCTAAAACTTTCACTGATTATGTAGAAGTGGAATTATCAGTAAACTAGAGGGAAAAAAATTACACACCCTGGTTTATGCAGGACAAAGACTTTTTTTCAGAAGCCCCAGTATTCTGCAAAATAGCCTTTGTTTACCATTAGTAGTGAACAAGTTGTCCTGTTTATACATTGCAGTCTTTCTTTAGCCAGGACATTACTAATGCGTGTATTGAACAAATCCTCAATACTTAGATCTATAGTATCATCATGGAATCTTTAGTATAATTTATGGAATAAATTTAGAGAGGGAAAACTTTTTCCCTTCTTTCTATACCATTTCTGTTTTAAACTTGCTAAAAGCTTTTTTTATAAGCATTTAAAACAATACCTGAAACCAGTAGGTATTTTATGTTTTAAAATGTGTAGGTCCAACAATTGTTACTGAACAAGTAGGATTTTCCTCATTTTTTTTTTTCCTATTGCCATCTAGGCTGCAGAAAGGTGAGTACATCATCATAGGACTAGCTGATTGGAGCATGGATATCTTTTTAGTAAACTCATTGGCTTGATAATGGAGAGATGACAATTATGCACCACAATTTTATGATTTTTCTGATTAGAGATTGACTTGTGGCATCTGAACTCAAGATTTCTGCGATGAATTGTTCATGTCAGGCATTCAGGGGAGAAAGTGGCACTTTGATCCTCATCTGGAGCTGTTACAGGATAGAATTCCTATACACACAAAACTTTCCAGCCTACCTTCTCAGCTTCTCTAAGAGCAGTGATTCCTCATGGTCTGTGTTGAAAGCTTAAGCAGAAATTGTGGGTTTGTGAAGGTAATTAAGACTTCCATTATGTTTAGTCACTCAAGGTAACGATATGTTCCTATAGATAAGCCTAAATTCAAAACCCCCATAAAGAATGGAAGTAATAACACATTTTTCTGGATGAAAATATTTGTTTTTCAGAAATAAGGCCTGGAACAGCTAGAATCATGTGCATGGACACTAGAATTGAAGTCATGTGTTGGCTCTTTCACTCGTTTTAGGTCAAGCCCAATCAGAGATTATTACAGTTTACCATCTACTTGTATTAATCTCAATAAGCTATCCTTGAAACTGAATGGAATTTTGGGGAGTTGGGGGAGATGAATTTCACAGTTCATTTGTCATTTGTATGGACGTATAGAACATAGGAGGGGAAAAAGAGAGAGGCAGGTTTAATGTGACATGGTGGGAGATGGTATATTAGAGATTGCAACACTGAAACATGATTTACAGATAGCAAGTTTGAAAGGTAGTTTTATACCTGGATGACTGGTATACAGCCCAGAATGGCAGTCCTCTCACAGAACCCCAAGTCTTATGCATAACTTTTTTTTCTATTTGTTGGGGTGAAAAGGGGCAGTCCCCTTACAACTGAATTCATGCAAGGAAACTTGAAATTGTAGGTGTTCTTTCAGTCTATAGTTTTATTAAGTGCATACTTTTAAATATTGTCAGTGAGAAGGTTCTATCTGGTGACAAATGTTTATATTTCTTATGGCTGCCTTGTAAAGATTCAAAAATGTACAATAATGAATTTCTTAATATGAAATAAGGAGTAAGATTTCTACAACTGCTATAGATTTTGATGTGAGCTGGTTTTTAAAATCTTAAAACAGATTAGCCACTTAAATAAAACCTTCTTGCCTTTAAACAAACAGTGTCACTGATTTTTCTTACCAGTAATTTGAGAAATATTGGATCATGATTGTACATGTCCAAGTAGCTGGTGGAAACATTATAAATAGAAGCTGGTTGATCTGTCTGAAATAATACTTGGATTGGAGGTCAACTTTTCAAAAACCTCCAACCCTCCTTCCTTTTCAAAAGTCATAGAAAAAGGCATTTCACTAATGAGAATTTGTGAAAGCTTTATAGAAGTAGTTTCAGGACATACAAAGGACAACTTAGAGATACTATACTTACACTTCCATATAGAAAAGTTGTTAAAAAATTCACAAAACACACACAAACACTAGATGAAGAAATAACACAAGCTAAAATTCTCAAGTCATCTGAAAGTCTAGAAGTCTTCAGGCTGGAAGGGTTGCTTTCATATTTCCAGGCCTCATTAACTGTTTAAATGTTTTAAAATGGGTTCATTTGACAAGAAAAAAAAAGAAAAATTTGGAGCAAGTTTAAAAATCAATACTTATACATAAATCATAATCGAATGCTTTTCATATTTATACCTGATACCATTAAAATTTTAGTAACACTGGAGCTACTAGGTCACATGCACATTTTAAAAATTACCAAGTAGCGCAAAGTTTCCCAAATCAGTCTTTTGTTTGAAAGTTCATTTTAGAGTGAACATAATTGGAGAAGCCTGCACAAAGCTTACCATGGAAAACAGCCCTGCTATTGAATTCTAAAAGCTTGACAAATCTTTGTTTTCATGTGAAAGACTAAACTTTGTTATACTGAATGACAGACCAAAAAAGGCTTGTCAAATGAATGTTAATTTTTTTAAAAGTAATTAGAAGCAAAATAAGGTATCAAATGCTAAGTATACATAATCAAAATACTTCCACTGTGATACTAGCTAATAAGAGCAGTTACAAGATGTTACATTAATTGTAGAAACAAATTTCTGTGTACAACTAAAAGACAGATGCAGCACAAAAGCGATGTTTAAGTCAACTGCCAAGATGCTATCTAAAGCATCAGTAAGAAATTACAAAGTTGGTCTGATTTGTCTGGAGCCAAACCACCTAAGATAGGATTAGATTGCTAATCCTTAAGGCCACGAAGTAAGACTCCTAAAATGGTTTTGTTCTTGTGGCATGAGTGACTCCACAGAATCCTGTTGCTTTGGAATGGCAGTTTTAGAAGAAGCCACTACTGTTTTATTAACTTCCAGCTAACATGATTAATAACTTTAGTTTGCTAGTAACAAAAAAAACCCCAACAAGTTAGGCTTTCAAAATAATAGACCAATCTTTTTTGCATGAAAAGTATTTGTGCTAAATCTCGTGGCTGCTGGATACCAATTTAAGCACTACTCTTACCTAGAATTATCCTTCATAAGTCTATCATAAACCCTTGCTTTGGCCATTCTTACTGGCCAGTTCAGCGTCATTTTCTAAGTACTTACTGCCTCATGAAATACGGTTTCAATACAGTTCCCTCATCTCAGCAGGGATAATACACTGTGGTTGGTACTATTTTGATTCTCTCTTTACTAGAAAAGAGAAAGCAAGGAAAGTCCTGAGCTGTTTCATTTAAAAAAAAGTGTAATGGCTCAAGTAAGTGTATAGAGTGCAGCCTTTCAGGTGCTATTCAGACCTCTCCCTTATATATGCTTATAAACTTGGAAACATGAAAAAATAGTTACAGCCATCTCTGTCTAGGTACCAAGTGCTTGATGGAGTTTCTTAGCTTGCCTTTTAATAGCTTGAGATGGTTTCAGGGATCGATGTACAGACTGTGAATGTCGTGCCATTAGATAGTAGTAGTTTGATATTGCTCGTTGCCTGAAGAAGAACAACAGGATTACCATTAGCAGCATGAAGTCAGTAGAGTTAATCAACTGGTTATCCCACAAATTGCTGGAAAACAGATGGGAGAAAGGAAGAGGTCTGGTACACTTTTACTGTGTAACTGTTCTAAACACTAGCAAGAAAATATTTTGTTATCTTCAGTGAACGTAAATGGCAAGTACGCAAATGAAGTACTGTGATATTTTAACTAGCAACAGGAGCATTTCTTGTGATATAATCTAATTCATTAAAATGCAAAACATTAGAACAATACTTTGAATTGGAAACAATCATTTGAGATCAAGATTTGCTTCATCATGAAAAAAATGAAAACGAAGCACTAACATTAAAACTCATGGCAATTGGATACCAGAAGAGAAAGTCTCATGTAAGACTAAAGGCACCTCCAAAAAAGTTCATTTCACAATTATTCCAGTAGGCAACTAGGCAGTAACAGAGCACAGTGTATGCATCTACACATGCAGGAGTACTGGACCAAATTGTGGAAGCAGTACAGATGACTGTTCAAACCATCAGTCCAGCATTTGAAACTGCTCTCATTTTTCTTGAAAAGTTCAACGAAGTGTCTTGCACCTGTCTTCATTGCTAAAATGGGACATAGTATTCAGGATGTACCTTTCCCTCTAACAAAAAGAACAATTCCAACATAATGGGTGAAGATATTTATGTCACATCCACTTGGGTACAATTGCTGTGTTTAAAAATGCCACCAATACAATTATGAGCTGCTGTTAATTGTGATAGCATAGACTAAACTGCTATGAAAATTCGAGGGATGGAAAAGAAAGGCTGTAAAATCCGACAGCTCAGGATAATGATTGGTTCTCTCATGCTCTGTGATCATTAGTAACCAGTGAGAACTGAACCTGAGTGACAAAAAGATTAGTACTAGTCATTTTTGGTCTGGAGTGAGAAAAGCTGATGTTTGCATAGGAGGTTCATTGTGAACCCATAAGGACTCACTAATCCACAATTTAGAGGTGAAGTTTTACAACTGCACAATGATCTGCTGTAGCAGAGATGGCCACAGTGAATATGAAGGAAGAACCCTGTGGTTCTACATAATACTGCCTGAAAGAAGCATGAGATAAGCCTTTCTCTCTATAAACAGCAGGTTTTCTCCCCACAGATGCATGCAGGCATAGCCAAGGTAAGTAAACAACTGCTTTACCTGGTTGCTACAATCTTCAGTTACGAATGAGAGAAACTGTCACATCACTAGCAGATGGGAGAATATTAGGAGTGAGATTTAGTGAACTTTCAGTGGGTATGATAAAATTAACTTGATACAAGTTTTAACCTATAGTTATCTAGACATGGTCCCATTGGTACAAATTTTTGCAATTATCTGAGATGTTAAGCCCTTACCTCTTTGTAAGTAAAGTACTTGATGCTAAACTCTCTTTAGAGAATTTGAGGTGCTTGACATTTAGTTATTGAATACTTTACATGGTCTAAGAGAGGAAGAAGTTTATGGAATCACCCTATGACAAGATTTCTGACCTTTAATTTTTATTTTCTTAATATGTCTAATTCAGAATGGCATAACCTTCACAAATACAGCAGCCTACCACCTTGTGGATTAACCAAGGTGTTTTATAAGAGATTTCTTCATTTGGGTACCATGGACTGTTTGTTAACATAATGCTACCTAATAAAAGGGTTTTTTAATGGATGTGCAGACATCAGTGACTGCACCAGTACACTGGAATTTTCCCACCTCCTCCCCCAGTCTGGATTGGCACCTCTTTTACACAAGAGTCAGGGAGGTATTGTTCTCACACAAGGTCAAAGGTAGGCTCCTTCTGATAAAAATCTGACTTCCACAACAAGGAAACTGAAGACAAGTAGAGCATTTGGCAGGTTTTAGAAGCTGCAAATCCAACTGCAGATTTAAACTTCCCAGGTATCTTTAAGAAAAAGCGGATATTTACATTACACTTGAAAAAGTTCTGCAACTATTCCTAATCCTGAGTTACAGGGACTACTTGGCCTGCAATTGGCTATGTTCAGGTGGCAGGTAAAGTTGAGGGACACTTAGCAGTATTTACCTCTCCTCTTTCACAATGGCATCATCAAATGCTTGGGAGATACGCTTCAACTGGCAAATCCCTGAGGAGACCACTTCCAGCTCACAGTCAAACTCTCTGCAAACAGAATGGTCATTGCTACAGATCAAACAGGACAGGCTGACTAGGTGACAGTACTCAAGCCTTCTCCCTGAAGTACCACTCTTGTTACCTCTAGACTTTACCCAGAGAAGTTTAGGGCCGTGGAAATTATACTCTTAATTCCATTGGCCAACTGCTTCACGTCTCCATTCATCCCCCGAACAGCTATCTTCCAACTGAGACATAGGATTCAGGTTCACAAGGCTTGGATTCAACTTCTAGCTTTAACCTTTCTTGTGACTTCGACCAAAAGAAAAACCTGTGTGCACATTATTAAGTATTTCCCTAGCTCCCAACTCTTGATCTAATTTGTGTTTGTTCTTTGAGGCAGGAATCTCTCTACATTATATAAAGAACTCAGTATAAGCAGAGGTATTCCAGGTATCTTTGGAATACAAATAGCAGCTTTGCAAAAGTTACAATTAAATCAGAGTGAGATACTGAGCATTTTCCTTTACCCAAAAGGCACCAGCAAAAAACTCAGGTATGTCTCTAAGAAAAAATTACTTTTTATGTTTCAGCTTTACGCATAGCTCAGTCCCTGTCTATACAGGGAGCTGGAACTACTTTCTTAACTATTCAAGCAGCACACAGCTTCAGGGGAATAGGATAGAAAACTTCATACCTTGCCTTTCACTTTATCAGATACTCTAATCAGTGTAATAAATTAAAAAAAAAATTTAAAAAAAGTTTACAAAAGAATGTGACTTACATCTTTCTGCTGGAAGGAGCAGGAGATGAATAAGGGCTCTTCAGTGCTGCTGCTCTTCTGGATCTCCGGAGAGAGAAACCATTTTTACCAAGCCAGGATGAGAAATCCCTCCATTCTCTATGTTTTGACACCCTTGTTGGCCCAAGCAAGGCCCTTTTGCAGGACTTTGGAGTGCCTTTGGAACTGGCTGCTGGAGTAACACTCTTACAGCAAGGTGTTTGAGGTGTAGCAGTTCTTTTTTTGGTAGAACTGGTCGCACAGCTTCTGCTGATGGATTCAGCTGGACAGGTCACCATTGAGCGAACTGGGCTTTGGCAAGACTTCTGTATTTTCTGAAAGAAGCATTAGACATGTTAGGCTAAATGAACTCAATTAGCCATGAGTTTGGAACCAGGAGGGCTAGGAATATTTGGGCTGAATTACTAGCTTCCATGTTCGTATCAGGTTTCAACTAACATGAATGCATCTCAACCTCTGTACTCATTTGCATAGGGAATCTCTTGCTTCCCTAACCCTTGACACTCATCAAGGACTTCAGAGCAGGCACTGGACAAAGCTCTTGCTGCTCTTATGCTGGAAAAATTCAGGCTCCACAACACAGAACGCATGCATTTAAAAATCCAAGGTCTGCAAGAAAGGGAAGTGCAAGCTTGAATCTGCTACCCTGCTACCTTGTAGCAGGTTTTGTCAGTCTAAATTTAGATTAACTATAATGAAGAACATGCGAGTAAATAGTATGGGTACAGGAGAATAAATAAAAGAAAAAAAATCCAAAATGCTGCACATTTCTCAGTAACAATTCTTTGCAAATTATGGCAATTTCTACCCAATTTCCTCTGTGTAAAGGCTGTTCTGCCATATATGATTAAATACAGGAGGAGAAAAGCTCTTATAACAAAATAAACTGTTTTCACCTTCCTCCATGTTCTGCCAGATCCATAATTTGCCTGTCTATACTTTAGAAAAAGATATTAAAGATTTTAAAAGTTAGTAGCTATGAGACAAACACTAAGTTGTGCAAGTGTGTGGGAATGGACTCTCTGGAATACAGCACTCAGTACAAAATTCAGAAATCCTAGTACTGGAGTTGAAGCAAAAACTAAACTCTATCTATGTTCTACTGTAAAGACAAAATACCTGGGACACTGTTCCAAAAGCATATTTTGCTGTTCTTTTAATAGTCTGAAGAGTTTGGCACCTCTGCCTTGGTTCCAGACTTTCCCTAGTTGGGGTTTTATCAACTCGAAAATTCAACTCGACTGGCTTTAATGGTACCCGTTTCCTTAAAGACATGCGAATGGTATTGAGAGAACTCAGAGAGGCCCTTCTCTTGAATTTATCAGGCACAGGGCTCTCATCCTCATTGAGGTCAGCTAGGAGCCGGTGTTTCCTCCACGCCACTGTTGCTTTGACATTTTGGAGCACAGATGCCATCTTGTTCCAGTTCTTGGTCAACTTTATTTCTAAAACAATGAAAATGAGAGCAAAGCTTAGGCAGAGCAAGGTACAAAGCAGTGTAAAAAAAGAGAAATGGAAACTATTGCAGAATATATTTGGTTACACTTGCCTGAAACAAGAAAACTAGAGCTGAGCAGACTTTTAGTTGGAGTCTTGAAAGAGAACAGGGTTGATTTTTAAGGCTATTTAGGTTTGCTCAAGTCCACCAAGAAGCCTTGTATTGCAATTCCACTGGAAAACTCTAGTTTGAAAGGTAGAATGCTCTATGAGTGCATCTTTTTGGTTTATATCTCAGATCAATATCTGATATCCCAAATTTTTGCCTTCTTTAATCAAAACAACCTTCCACAGCGAGACAATTTTACACAGCTGCCATTGTCTCCTGCTGTACTTAGCTGAAGGCTTCTGCTTCAGTCCCAGTTATGATTGTGGATACGTAACTCGTGAAACAGACAGGATTATTACTGGCAGAAGACTTTCGTGAGAAGGGCTAAAATGCTAGTTATCTATATGACATATGATAATTTAAACATATATACTTTCCAGTCTTGATTTTCACTTGTTAACGAATACGATTGAAATGAGAGAGAGCGCCGCTACTGTCCTACGATTACAATGATCTGTTTATTAAACGGGTATTGCACAGGACAGCGCGGTGCCTTCTTTCTTCTGGAGGCCACGGCGCTCTGGGGTAGCCCCCGGCCGGGCCCCTGGACACACCCGGGCCCACGCCTCGTCCGAGCCGCTCTCGCCGCGAGCACCCCGCTCTGCTGGCACTGGCCGTGCTCCCCGCCGACAGCCGCGGCAGATCCGCCGCGCCGCCACATGGGGCTAACGGGACTGGGCGGGACCAGCCGGTGCTGTTTTTGCGCCTACCGGGACAGCAGCAACAAGCGCGAAAAGTGCCGCCAAAGCCGAAGGAGACGGGGTCGGACAAAGGGAGCCGCGACTGGGCCGCTCTGGCAGCTGCTCGGGGCAGTACTCACTCAGCGCGCCGGACGGAACCGGGACCCGGATCGGGACGAAGCCGCCACCTCCCCTCAGCAGCTCCTCTGTGCGCCGCCACCGCGTTTGAACGCCGCACCGCCCCCTGCGAGCCCCCGGATTGGCGCCGCCGCCGCCCGCCGCAATTGGCTGCGTCCCGCGCGCTGGGCTGCCGTTACTCGGCCGGGCGCGCGCGGCGCAGCCGGCGCTGAGGGGGCGGTGAGGGAGCGGCCCGCGCCGGCTGAGGGGAATGTCCGGCCCAGCGGCGCAACCGCAGGGGCTGCGCTGCGCCCCCGCCCGCCCGCGGCTCGGGCGCCTTCGCGGATCTCGGCCCAGAGATCCGCGTCAGCTGGACTAGTAAAAGGACGCGGGCTGGGTTGCCCACTTGGGTATCCAAGCCACACCTCCTGTTACTTCTGGTAATTATCGGTCAAAGTCTTAGAAGGTTTTTGTTTGCTTTTACTCCACGGGCTTCTGCAGCTCTTGCTGGAGGAGACAGCTAGTGTAACTGTCCGTATGGGATCGTAAACCATCCGGGATGCCCTCTGAAGCAAAGAGGGCCAAGGGCAAAGGACGTATATGTTCAGCAGTGGGGGATTTTATTTTGTTTTGTTTTTTTTTTTCTTACCCGAGTGGCAAACAAGACATGCAAAGCGTTCATTTATCTTGAAATTACTTCTGCCTGAAAAAAAAAAAATTGCTCTAGAAAGAACTGTAGCAGCGTTTTTTTGCCAAAGATTTGTTTTCCCCCCACCAAGTTAAACTCGGAGCTGACAGCTAGAACACCTCCTTAACTAAGACTTCGCTTATAGTGATGGAAAAGCCAACCCAACACTGCAGGATACCTCTTGAATCACACCACTGGCTTATAAACAAACATACTTTTTACAGATTCATAAGAACTCTGGTTTTAAAAAAGTTCCACATGATGGTGTTTGTCCTGCTTTGTATTCACACACTAATATTGATGAGTACAGTGTAATAAACATCCTTTATTAACAGACATGTTTCTATGTATTACAGCCCTATATTCTGTTCTGCTTTCCTCTGTCCATTGCCTTCAGGGCTTCAAGGTAGCTGAAGTATTAGACCTCTTCCCTGTGTTCTCCCCACTCTCTATAGCAAAAGTTTCAGGTTCTTCTCACTAGCAAACTGGGGCTTCAGCCACCATATTTTAAGACTTGGTTTGGATTTTTGGAAATTGATCTAGAGACCTCCTAAATGACTAATAGTTCTGCAAAACAAAGAGCTCTTCTTGGGGGTGCTAAAGAGAGAGAGAGAGTGAGAGAGACAGGTAGTAATCAGACCACATGATCAGTTTCTAAGGGTTTTATTGATAGCTGGGGGTGTGGGTTGGTACTTTGAATGGCAAGAGTGGGCAGAAGAATCCCTAAGAATAGAAATGGTGCTAATTGAAAAGAGTATGTGTACAGGCAGAGAGATTCTATGTGACATAAGAACTGTAGGCAAAAAGACAAACAGCAGACTGAAGCTTAATTGTGCTATCAACCTGTCCTTTCATGCCTGTTTATACAATTAAAATAGAAATATCTGAGCTTTTGTAGTTGTAAACAGACTCTCAGGGATCTGCATATTTTCTTCTTCTTATGGTGCACTTCTTGTTTTCATCGATTTCAACTTTTTTTATCCAGCCTTAATCTAAGGCAGGGTACTGATTGTCATGGAATGGTACCCCAGATGACTATGAAAAGTCAGTAGTGCTAATTTTGCACTGATGGTCCTGTTCAAATGTATACAGCCCAAAGAACTGAATACTTTTAAATGCTAGGCATCAGATCACAGATCATGATCAATTTAATTGCAGCTGATGCCAACCAAAGGTTTTGCAGACGATGTGGCTACTGTCACAGCATTTCACAGAATCACAGAATTTCTAGGTTGGAAGAGACCTTTAAGATCATCGAGTCCAACCCATGTTCTAACACTTCAACTAGATCATGGCACCAAGTGCCATTTGATACCATTTCACTTGAAGGTGAAGGCCCAAAAGTTAAAATATGTGTCCTGTGTTTGTACTGTGATTGTTCTTCACTCTTTGTTTTTTTCTTTTGATTTAGGTAAGACTATACTTTAGACTCAAGGGCTTGTTTGACAGCTGGAGTACAGAGGTTGTTGGTTTTGATTGTGAAGAAACAAACTTTCATCCATTTGTTTAGAAGCCTATTATGTTGGGATTGGCAAGAAATCTACCCACAGCTTTCTGCATGTTGGTTTGATTTAAGATCCAGAAGAGAAATCCTCTCAATGGAAGATGAGAGTGAACCCGAGCAAAGCTTCTGGGCCTATCTACCTGATGTCTGTCTGAGGCATGTCTTCCATTGGTTAGATGACAGAGACAGATCTCGGGCTGCCTTGGTCTGTAAAAAATGGAGGTGTGCCATGCAGTCTGGATCTCTCTGGAGATGCAGAACCATCACCTTTTATGGCCAACCATCAAGGGCACGCACACTGGAGTTTCAAAGTGCACTGTGGTATACCAAGAAATTTGGCAAGTATTTGAAGCACCTTGAGATCAAGTTATCGAATCCTTACAATACTCCCTTTATCAAAAAATTTCAAGTGATTATGAGAGGTCTTCTTTCACACCTGGGTAAGTGTAATAGTCACCTAGTATCCCTGAGCATCAAGTACCTAGAATTAGACTGCTTGATCTGGAGAAATGTGGTTAGGGCTCAGTTTATCAAGAATTTATCTGCCTTCCTGAAAAGAATGAGCAATCAACTTGATTATCTTAACTTAAAAGGAGCAAGAATAACTTTGGAAGAAGGCTGTGAGCTTCTGAATTCTCTAAGCAGTTTGACAAATAGAAGCTTTATATCTGAAATCAATATTGAGGATTTCTTCAGTCTCCACCTTTCTGTCTACAGCAGTGCCTTGTTCCACCAAACTATGTCTAAGTTCCACAAGCTGACCATCCTGACTTTTAATTACAACTGCATCTCTGATGAACTGCTGGACATCCTACGTGAGCGCAGCTCTCATTCCCTGTGCACCTTGAATATCAAGTGTCATATCCATGACCCTCATGGGCAAGTGGTCTCAGGAATGTCATGGGCAAACTTGGCCAAGAGAGCCCCAAAACTGAATGTGAACTTCTTCTTTGAAAGAGTCATGAAGCATGATCACCTAGCTAGGATCCTGCTAGAGGAGATCCCAGTTAGGAGCATCAGCCTACGGAGCTGTTATTTTAGTGACCCAGACTGGACAATGAGACCTACTCTCACCAACCTTCTCCCAGCTTACTGGCATGGTCTGCAGGTAAGGGAAACAATAGACACGCCCTACTGCAGTATCACAAAGCTCTACAAAGCAATCATGTAGGCCTTCTGCAGAACAGCAGTCAGCAACAGAAATTCCTGACCGCTTTGGTTTTACAATCAGAGGGCAGTTTTCATAAGTAATTTCAGTGTTTCATCCATAATGTCGTTAATGAAATTATCCTTGTCCAGTTATAACCCTCCATAATGCTATCAGGCTGCTTATTTTGGCAATACACTAATGTCCTATAGCATATCTAAATTAACTAGTGCCCATGTCAAAGCACTTCGGTGTCACAAGGGATATGTCATCAAAGGTTTGCAACAGCTGACCCTTGTAAGTGAGCCTCAGGTCTTTGCACGCCAGAGGGAAACAAGTGGCCTTACACCTGATGGCTGCTGACAGCTTTCTGTAAGTCCTGTTTCCATTGCAGAGTTGCGAATAAACACCATAAACACCATGTAAAGCTTTCTAGAAACCATCATTGGCTCTACTCTTGTCTCTGGAATAATTTTCATTATGTCAGATAAGATCATGGTATGACTCTAGGTGCAGCGTTTTCTAACTTCATAAGGGTCACCCCCTCTTAACAGGAGAGTGATTTACTGTAGCACATACACTGCTGTCATAATGCAAAACAGATTGTCAGCTAATATCAAGGTAGAAAATTGATCAGACTTTTTTTTGTTAACTTGGAAAACTATTTGTTGAATTCTAGTTACTGCATGCAACATCTGTTTAGTAGTACTAACAGTGTTCATTTTTTTCCAAGAAATTAACACTTGAATTAAACAATGACCATGAGTTGCTGGACAATGAGCTGCTACAGCTTATTATATCATGCAAGAGGTTGTTATTTCTGAAAGTCTGGGCATTTCTAAGTGTCAGCTTTATGGAGAGGCTGCTACAAAACCGTGCAGAAAGGAAATGCATTTTGACTACCATAAAGGTAAGACTTTGTGCTTCAAAACTCCCATTCCCATTCTTGCTCCTATACCCAAAGGTCCCCATGCCCAAGCAAAGATCACTTACAGAAATGTTAATCTAACTATCTTCCCTATGTTATGCCTTAGTACCAAAAAAAGGAGGCTTTCCAACCCTACTTAGCCACATACAGATACTATAGAAGTTTATTATGAAGTCCTGAAAATTCCAGAAGCCCTTCCTAGACTGGCACTCCCTCTGTCACCTCTAGTTCAAGCCCTCTCCCACTTCCCGGGTTTCTCAGTTACCTCTCAGGCTCAGTGCTTATGTCTATAACCAAGGAAGGTGGCTATAGACATAATAACCAAGGAAGGTGGACTGAATCCCACTAAACTGCAAAAATACAAACACATAACACCTTTTAGGGGTCCTGTGTTGAACTGGGGCCAAGCCGCAACTGTAGCTGGTGTAAACCATGCTGACATGCTACTTTCTGTGCTACAATCTGAATTCTGTAGGTCCTTACATATCTGTGCAGATCCCAGGGATGCATCAGTTCTGGGGGTAAAAAGAACCTTGTTCTTCCTGTCTGAGTCAGCACAGGCAGACAGCAGGGACAACCACAAAACCACAGCTAAAAGACAAAGAGTAAATTTACTTCCCTTCTTTTGCTCACTAAGGCATCCCCAAAGCAACGCCCAGGCAGACACACACAAGTGGAGATGGAGGCACAGTTAAACTCGCTCCGTGCCAGAGGATCACTGGCTGGCATTCATACTGGCTTATCAAGGGCTATTCCCATCTGCAAGGTCACCTGAGTGATTTATAATCCTTCTTGCTAGTCTTCCACTATTTAACCTGTTCCTCCCAACACCTCCCAAAAATTCTTTGTCAGGAGATGATGTTTTCAGTCAGCTGGGAGTGGGAAGAGAGTAAAGATTCTATTCCAATTCAAGGAATTTTGCTTCTCTAGATTCCTTCTTAGTCACAGATGCTTCTTGTTGCCATGAACTGTAATGGGTTGAGCTCCCTATATCTGAGAGACATGACTGCTATTTGTGCATACAGGTCAGGATTTATACGGCCCAAGATGACAGCACTGAGGAGGAGCGGCTGCTGGCTGATATTTACAGGAAATTCAAGTACCTGATTGACTCAGAACTTAATTATTTTGTCATCACCTACCCAATGGTATAAACTACAGGAAGAGAACACCCAGTGACATCTGCATTAATGGATCCTTTGGAGTGCTTTAGTAGGGGATTTGAATTTTGACAGCAGTGCTTCCAAAAGGGAGTTATCATTCCAGCAAGTGAGAAGCAAGGGACAATTTTAAACTCCATGCATTAAAATGTTGGACTTGGGAACTGGACTCTTTTGTCTCCAGCATTATTTATTCTTTCCCTTGCTTTGGTTTTCCTTGCCAGAACCAAAGGAAGCAGTGATCCCTTTTCCACCCTTACAGGCATCTCTGATAAAAAATAAGACCCTCCCCTTTTTTCAGCACTTCTCATTGCAGAGCTTCAAACACTTTACCACTGAAGCCCATCTCATTGTTTCCATTTTACGAATAGGGGAACTTAGACATGGGGTGAGCAAGTGATTTTCCCAAAGTCAGCCTTGACTTGATCTCAATTCAGATGCAGACAGGTTCACTATCTAGTGTATCAGGTCCTGTTAAGTTGGCCATACTGTCTAGTTCTTAGCAGCAGATGCTAAGATAAAAACAAAACATCGCATGGCCAGTCCTGAGAGACACCCCTCCCACTTGCCCAGCTGTCCAATAAGTGATTTATGAGGACACTCCTGCTCTGGCTTCCACACAGTTGCCTTTTGACACCTTTCAATGGCAAAACATATCATTAGTTACACATGAGAGAAACATGGAAGAAGGGGCATTTCTCATTATTCTGAATTTTATTGCCAAGTGGAAGATTTCATCAAACATTTTAGAGCATAGATAGTTCTGAAACAGCTGTAAGTACTAGGTCTGTTTTAATTACCTTGTGCAACTAGACAGCATTGAGCCAAGCCAATAAATTTGGAAGCTTGGAAATAAAATTTCAGCAGGAGCTGCTTCTTTGGAGCACAGTCTCCCAGTATAATGACTTCAGTAATTGTTTATGCAAACAGACTCTCTCATTTGCATGCACAGCACTTCATCAATGTACAGTGTGTTCTCCTTGACCTTGATCTCTTCCTCCAAGGAAAGCTGGCGGCGGCTAAGGCCTTTCAGCTCTGTCTGAGCCTGTGCCAATGCATCCTTTAATCTAACAGGGAAAACAGATGCAGGCATTAGTTGAAAACACATGGGTAGGGGGTTTTTTCTCATAAGGGTTAGGAATTCTGAGCAAGAAAAAGAAAGATGGAAAGGGATTCACAGAGACAATATCCATTGTCTTCCCTTAAAGTCTATCCATTAACTTCCTTTAAAGTGTCCTGCCCTTAAGAGAAAAGCAATTCCCAGCTTTTCAGGGAGAATAGTTGGGACCCGTTGTTATGCTAATACATTAAATTAACCAATACCACAGATTTTCCTCTTGCATAATTTCCACTTGCCTTTGAATATTTTTGGTAATCTCTTGAACTTCACCCATCAGGCTGCTGTGCACCGTGTCATAACACAGTTCCACATTGGGGCGATGGTTCCTCGCTTCCAAACGGGTTTGAGCCACTTTCACAGGTGCTTCCTTATCAGTGATTGCTTTCTTTAAGGCTGCAATGTTCTTCTCCTGTGAAGCAGTCTCATCCATCACCTTAACAAATCCAACAATGAAATTCTGCACACTGCCTCTTACAATGTGTGAAACCATCATCATCTACTTTAATAGTTGCAACAATCACAGTAGCACTCAATATGTTGTTATTTCATCAAATAATATTTTGCAAAGCTTAGCCAGGAGTATGATTCCTTCATTGGAAAGCAGATGACACGGTTCTGGGTAAATCCAGAAATTTATGCTCAGCAATTAATATTTTTTAATATTAAAACTCAGTTTTCATGTGTCAAATTTTGAGCATATTGACCCTGCTGTTATCAGGCTCTTACATCACAATCTCGAAAAAGCTATAGGAGCCTCATGCAATTAAAAATCACAAGAAAAATCCTGTCTTCACTGATGGCTACAGCAACGTTTAGATTGAATGAGTGACTCCAGAAATTCGTCTCTTTGGTGGTGCACACAGAGCTAAGAAAAAAAATCTAAAATTACTTTTATGGAGAAGGGAACAAAAAGGAAAATATGGCAGATAAGTGCAACCCACTGGATTGGGTAAACTGGTAGATAACCGAAGCCTTGTGTTTCCACTTTTTCACTGACTGTCCCCTATGACTTACCATTGCAAGAAGTGTCTCTAGCTTGTGCTTGGCATCCTTAACTTCCTTCACCCTATTTCTAAAAGCATTATTCACCATCTCACAATGCTTGCGCATGTCATTTGCTATCTGTGAGAGGATGCCATCGATAAGTGCCTTCAGTGCCAAAGAATTGTTTCGCTGCTTGTCAGCCTTTTCAACATTTATATTTGTGAAATCTATCCAGTCCTCAGGGCTAACAAAACTGAAAGAGAATCAAAATAAGAGGTCACCAACAGACAGCAGAAGGCCCTCTATGACTTCATAAATCTGTAATTGTGCCACAAAATCAAGAACAAAGCAGCACTTTTAACTGCATGTCCCAGTAAGTGCCATATGTCCAGGGAGTGCTACAGATACAAAAGAAAGACTCTGTCACAATTATTTTGTAATGAAGTAGATGAGAGTCCAATGAAAACAAATTTGCTAGAGAGATAGAGGAGCCTTGCTGTTACTTTCCCCCGGCAAAGGGGAACTTATGACTTAACATGGTGGGAAACACATATAATAATCAATATTTCTTAGAACATCTTTCATTAATAAAGCTGTTACTATTAACAGCAGGCAACTATTTACACAACACATGCACTTATTCTCTCACAGAGTTCACCTATACGACACTTACAGTACCTGCCTGGAACAACAGTTGAGAAGCCCAGCCCCAGGAGGTAATCCCCAGAATTAGAGGGTTATGCTTGTGCAGCTTTGGCTTGCAGGCGGGTGTTTGAGAAGTTCTTCAGAGGGTTCGTTCCTTGTTTCATTGGGTGAATATATAAAGTTGTAATTGTCATTTGCACATAGCAGGCAACACCATCCTGGGTGTGGTCAGAGTTACATAACCAGTTTTAAGTGCTGGCAGCAAGAGCTGTCAGCCTCTTGGTGTTGCAAGTTTGCCAGCTGTTACATAGCAACAGTAATTTTATGAGGCTCTTGCACATACTGCTTTCCTAGTACAGTTCCTCTTTTCAGCCCATTTTTCTGTGGTAGCTATTTTTGCATTTAAACCTTTCACACTAACTAGCCCATGCAGAATGGGCACATTTGACAGCTTAATGTCCAAGTCAGAAGCTGACTAGACACCTCATGGGTCCCAGTCCAGCATTCTCCCCACTGGGACACCCCGGGAGAGGAAAGAAGGTAAGATCAGTAATCTATTCTGTGTTTAAGCAATATGTGAAGTTCTTCCTTAGCTAACTGTGAACCTCAAAAACTTTTAAAAAAACTGCAGTTCACTGGGAGCATAATTATTGTGGTTTATTTCACAGACATATTACACAGATACAGAAGTGATGGACAGAAGTATAAGAATAAGATGGCAAAAAGATAAAGCCTGTTTTACACAAAACTAATTTTGCTGTTACTGGGACAGCCCATATTATCTGTATAATATCTGTATAATTATCATATGTTCGTTGAACTAAAGAACCACTTACTTTCCTTCCAGTTTCATTGCATTATCAGCATATATAATATGAGGAGTGTCATTTGTCAAGCTAGCACAGTAATCATCAATCGTCAAAGCTGTGAATTTGTCCTTCAGATCCATGTCCAGGTCATATTTTGCTGAACGGTTTCGTCTAGGAGAAAAAACAACCAAAACTCTAAGACCATGTGTAGGCATTCACAGGTGTCCTTAATATGCATGCATACATGCATTAGGTAATTAAAATGCTGTTACAGAAATTGTTGTGTAAGAACTCTTAGTTGTCAAGTCACAAAATCTACAGTATGAAGCTGCCTTTTTAGAAATTGATGGTACAATTCTCATTGAAATTAAAGGCACAGGACTGGATCATGAGAAGACCAAGGATCAAGTGCAAGTACTTTGTATTCTAGAAGCAGAACCTCTCACCACTACTGATTGAGTGGTATGAATTAGGACTGACCTCCTGTTAGTGTTTAGCATTGAAGATAACTTAGGACCTGTGTTCAGCCTGACAACTTCTCAGTATTATGGCTGTCTTAACTTTCATCTAATTAGTGTTCTGTTATGCTCTCTGCCTCTGCACCTGATTTGCTCATTTGTTTGTTCCAATGTACGTTCAAGTAAAGCAATAATCCCCTGGAGGACTTCAACTTCCTTCAGCAGCTGCTGTTCCACTTCATCATGCACCAAGTCAATCCCAACTCGCCTCTGCCTACATGAAAAAAGGAAAAACCATCAGCCACATTGTTCAAATGCCTGCATCGAACAGAAGATGATAAAGTTCCACTTTCCTCAGTGCTGTAACACCTAAATCAGACTGTGTTTGCAGTCTTTTTTCTTATTTGTTAAAGGTTCATTACCTAGACTTTTTTTTGTCTCCTTGAGTGCTCACCTGTACAGGAGACACTTTTGGGCAACGACAAGGGGCTCTTTGCAACCCTCCAAAGCTCTCTCCAGCCTATTCTTGAAAGTCAACAAAATCTCTGTCTCATGAACAATTTGTTCTAGCTTGTTATCTAATTCTTGCTTCCAGAATTTTATCTCTTCCCGTCTCTGTTCTGTAGAATCAAAATAACAAACATGTATTATTATGGGCCCATTTTATGAGCAAGGGGACTGCAGCTCAGGTCTTAGGTATGGCTAAAAATAGACTTATTCTATAGTGGAGTACCTGTAGTGCTGTGGGCTGTGTGGAAACAGTTTAGCAACCCTGTGTCAGGAGGTTTGGTTAAGAGAGATTTCGTGTGTTTTGTTATAAAAATAAAGAGTCTGCCTCAAAATATTTTATAAAATATTTTTGATTTTTTCATTACATTAACAAGCATGGCATTGACATATACTCCTATTCATTATCAACTAATTTGCTAAGTCCTTCTTGAAAATATAGCTCAAATAAAACATTTTGACCCTTGCAGAAGACATGGGATTACCTAATTTCTTGTTGACATCACTTTGGGTTTTTTGAGTTGTCTTTTCTATTTCATCCACCAGCCTCCAACTCTCAGCTATCATGCATTCTGACCTGGATTTCTGGGACTCTGTACTGGCACACTGCATCTTGTTTGCAGTGTACCATTCTGAGGGATGAAGTTTAGATGGATCTTGCAACAGCCTGGCCATTGTTATTTGGAAAGTTTCTGGATATAATGCAGGTCAGTTTTTGGAATATCAAACCTGAAAACAGAAATAGCATTATATTTGGCTGCCAAAGCAAGAAGGGAAGAAGACAGGTCTATAAGGATGAGAAATATTTTGTTCTTTTTACCTGCAAAATGACACTGATATGAAAAAAAAAGAGTTTTTGCTCAAAGTTCCCCAAGTCTTTGCTGATGAGTAGGGAAGAATGTTTGGAGTGAGAGAATGAAGAAACAGAAGAATTTGTGAGGGGACTTTATGAGGAGAGAAATGGATCTGACAGGAAAGGATGGACTATGCAATAGGAAGGAGAAGAGAAAGGAGACCTGTGGAGAAAGATGGAATTACTAAACAAGCAATCACAGAAAACAAAAGAAAAAAGTGAACAAACATAAAAGATAAATAGACTCAGAGAGGTTGGAGAAGCAAACACTTTTCAATAATATGATTGGAGAAATGGATAAAATCTAGACTATAAAAAGAAATGTAACCACAGAATTATTAGTGTTGGAAAAGACCTGTAAGATCATTGAGTCCAACTGTTAATGCAGCACAGCTGTATTCACCACTAAACCATATCCTAAAGTTCTAAATTCACATGCCTTTTGAACACATCCAGGGATGAGAATTCCACCACTTCCCAGGGCAGGCTGTTCCAATGCTTGATTAGGTGATTCTTTTTCTAATGATGATTAGGGAAAAAAAAAAACCTAAACAAAAATAAACCCAAAACACCCCCCCCCAAAAAAAAAAAAAAAAAACCAACCATAACCACACAACCAACAAAACAGAACACCAAACCCCAAAACCCCAAATCAAAATCGGACCTGAAAAGCTGAAGGCAAATGAGGATATGGGAAAGTCCAGAAAGGATTAAAGAAGAAGAACAAAGCATACTGAGGAGAACTTGTTTAGTGGAGGGTGAAACCAATGCCCCAAATTTGCACAAAGTAGTTTGATTATAAATTTTCCTATTGCAGTATGCTCATCCAGTGTTCCTGAGACAGTTTGTGAGCACAAATGCATACAACTGCGCAGCAACACACAGCTCTGCCCACACTCCATTCAGCACAGCCACCCTTAAATCGACTTCCTTCGCCCTCACACACACCTCTCGACTGACCTCCATCCTCGACTGAACTGGAGTTCAAAGCCTGGCAAAGTGCCACGTCCTCAGCTCCCCTTCCATAGGAAGGTGTTTCAGCCTCAGAGACCCCTCAAGAGTCTCTCAGCCTCCTCAGCAGCAGCACAGGTTCTTTTTAAATGTGTGACTCAATACTGCAGGAGGCGGCTCGAACTGCGCGGAAGGCAAACAAACTGGCTGCTGTGGGAACTAGCGCAGCTACCTCTGCTAGCAGCTTGGTGCTGTGGCACCGGCTGGAGGAGGCACAGCACACACAAGTCCGTGGTGCTTCATTTCACCCCCTTCCTGTTAAGATTTATCGGGAAAGAAACCCACGTGTTCGCTGTACATTATTTTTTTCATAGTTCCCAGAGCTGTGGACAGTAATTCTGAATTGATTTGTTGTAGAAATGCATAAAGATTGTGAAACAAATGAGAGGCGTATTAAGTATCCAGCTATCTAAAATGTCAGTCGTAAAATATCCTTAGTAGTATGCTCTATCTTTATGTCAACAATATTCTTTCCTGGGAGAAAATATTCTGGGAGCCAGACAGAAGAGATGAAGGAGATAAAGAGCGTGACATTAGACGGTACAATTGTGTCCCCTCCGTATGGCTCTGCTATAGTTTACATAGATCAGTTTCTCTGAGTGAAACCCGACAATGTTCCAAAAGATCACAAAATGATAAAGAAGTAACATTACTCAAAAAAAGAAAAAAAAAAAAAAAAAAAAAAAAAAGAACAGCTGTCATGTTTCTGAAAACGTGCTCAGTCACCTTGAAAGCGGAGGAAACAAACTCCCAGTGGTGGTTTTCCACGTCGTTATTGTGGGACTTCATGCTGTTTTGTTCTGAAAACCCAGTATCTCATGCTGTCCTGACCCAGATTGTAGCGACACTGCCACAAATTAAAGTTACAAACCACAAATCCATTCACCAATGTCAGCTACCGTAAGACAATTTCCTTTCAACCTGTTAATATTAAATTTACAACCCATACTGCAATATGAACTTTACGACCAAAGAAACCCTTTAGTTTTACCTCAGATGGTTTTCTCTACCGACTCACAGGGCTAGAAAACGGCTCCACGGCCGCCGGGGCTGCGCGCACCGGACGGGACGGTCCCAGCGCGCGCCCCCCGGGCGAGCGCCGCCCGCCGAGCCCCGCGCTAGCGAACGGCCCCGGGAGAGCGGCGGAGGCACCGCCCGCCGAGCCCCGCGCTAGCGAACGGCCCCGGGAGAGCGGCGGAGGCACCGCCCGCCGAGCCCCGCGCTAGCGAACGGCCCCGGGAGAGCGGCGGAGGCACCGCCCGCCCTAACGAACAGCTCCGGGAGAGCGGCGGAGCCACCGCCCACCCTAACGAACAGCTCCGGGAGAGCGGCGGAGGCACCGCCCGCCCTAACGAACGGCTCCGGGAGAGCGGCGGAGGCACCGCCCGCCGAGCCCCGCGCTAGCGAATGGCGGGGAGAGCGGCGGAGGCACCGCCCGCCCTAACGAACAGCTCCGGGAGAGCGGCGGAGGCACCGCCGGCCAAGCCCCGCCCTAACGCACGGCCCCGGGAGAGCGGCGGAGGCACCTTTCCACAGCGCGTGTAAGCGCCCAGTTACGGCCGTATGAAAAAGGAACTCCTCTTCTGCACAGCAGTAGGGGTAAGCTAACACCAGCTTACCACGTTCCATTGCAATGCCTTTAAAAAGGATTTTACGAAGGAGCGGTTCCTCACATCGTAAATTTTGTCTGGATGTAGAAAATAGGGTCACTGTTTGTGAAATGGCCAAGTCCTCAGTCAGGAAACGTCTCACGTTTTCTGTGGAGGAGTCTAACCAACCAGCATTAATGAGACTAGATCTAAATTAAGTATGTTACCATATTCCTTGTTGGGTGTATGAAAAATACCATAAATAGTTTTATTCGTCATAGAATCAATCAGCAGAACTGCTGCCACTGTGTTGAAGTAGGAGAGTTCTCTAGGTTGAGCTCACACTGCAGCATCATCAACTACTTTCTTTCAATGTTGCTGAAATCCTAAAGCAGACTAACATAATAGGTCTGAACAGTGGTGTTCCACCAGAGTCCAAAATAATCCATAAAGAAAGGCTGAGAGGGCTGGGGCTGTTCAGTCTCCAGAAGGCTCATCAGAGAGCTTCTGGCAGCCTTTCAGAATAGTCTTAAAAAGTAGATGATGTCTCTGCTGACATTATCTTGAAAATATTGCACAGAACAAACTGATTTAGCCTTAAAAAGTAGGATCAAGTTGACAATAAATAACTGTAGAGATACTTTTAGATGTAATACAGAAACATTAGAAAAGTTAAGAAACTGTCCATTTGTGTAAAATATATACTACGCCAACTTAATAGATTGTTCTTTTATCATTCATGTTAAACACACTGTCATATACACATACACACATGCTCTGCATTAAAAAAATAAAAATATTGAAAAATCAATTGGCATACATTATATACTTTAATTTCAATTTAATCATACAATCAAATAGTTGAGGTTATTCATACAGAGCAGACCTCTTAATGCAGAAAGCTGTTTTTCTAGAAGTATGTCATAGCACTATCTCCCTAAACCCTTACACACACCAATAGATCAACTCAACTTACAGTCTTCAACTTTCCTGCAAACAGGTGGCTGTTAAGTCCCAGATATCTTTAGTCACCTCTCTGAAGTGGGAAGACTTTAGATAACCTGTACAAATACCTTGTGGATAGCTGCAAAAACAAGCTAAATTACAGAAAGTATGTAGATTCACCCTGTTGAATTAGCAATAATTTTACAGTCTAAAAGTTCCTTTATATAATTATATGCTATTAGGCCTAAATTGGCCAAGCACTTACCTGCGTCTTCAGCACTCATATCACACAGTAAAATCATCTATGACCTCAGACTGTGAAGGAATGCGATGTATAAGGCAGTATTGACCCTCTCATGGTAATTATGATGGACTCAATAAAAAGTACTCTACTGTAAGAATGTAAATAGGTGTATTGTATGTGCCAGTTTTGGACAGATTTCTCCTCATGCTTAACAAAAACTCCTCCAAAACATAAGTACGATATGTTTATCCTTAGAGTGTATTTGGCAGAGCTATAGGCACACACTTACTCCTCAGAATTATAATAATTCAAGACAAAGTAAAGAACTGAAGGCAATGGCATTTATATGCTAACAAAGCTGGTGCTTCATTCATGGTTTTTAAGTAAACTAGACTAGAAAGGGAGACTGAAGTAAAATCATATTTCAAATGCAGCTGAACTTATGTACTTTTTTAACTGAAATTCAGAGCACAGAGAATCATGACTGGAACAAAAATCTTTTAAGTAAAAGCTCTGTGCTTTCACTGATTTTACTTGGTTATCTGTCACATCATTCTAAAAAGATGCAATAAATCTGAAGAGTGCTTGACATATTTTATTATAAATGGTCATCAACACAGAACCAAATTAATCTTTCTAAATATCTACACATCAATGTAGAACCAAATTAATCTTTCTAAATATCTACAAAAAGCACAAGGGCAGGTTAAAAAACATTCTCTAGCATGAGCAGATGATTTGTGGCTTTCATTTTTTTTTCTTTCTATGAGCCTATTCTTAGGGAAGAAATAATTTTAGAAGGCTTTTTTTAGTCCAGTAAATCTGGAATAATCTAACTGTACTGTGGTTTTAATAGTAATTTAACTGAAAACTGAAACTAGTGCAAGGCTTTTGAAACTATTTCAAAACTCCCACATCTTTCATATATATTTTTGTGCACTGTTCATTTGCCTCAATCAGCATCTGTACTGAACAAGTTGAAAAGAGTTCACTCTTGTCCACACTGAAGAGCTGCTCTCCCCCTGAGTCCAGGTAAAAGGACATTACAGAAACAGGCTTGTTTCTATTAAAACTGTTCAAAGGCTTTTGTACCTTGCTAGCTCCTACCTTTCCTGCAATCCTAAACCATGCAAGCACACAATCTCAGACAAAGAGGAGTCCCAGCTGTTGCTAGTCTGATCAAGAAATCAATCCAGGACTGCCAGCAGAGGCATTAGCAGCCCTCTCAGCAAATACTATTAGATTTGACCATTACAGACAAATGCCATTATGTAACGTAGTAATCCGTCACCACACTCATCAGACAAGAGGTTATGCTGTCTTTATGATTTAAGAGAACAAAACAATGCCTGTTTGATCTGTGTGTGTGTATGCTAGAGTGGAGGGGTAGGGTTGGAGGATAGGCATGATTGCTCTAACGGTTGAGTACTCTAGGTCATTATTTGCTAAACAGAATTTTCCTTGTCCATCTGCCGTTTCTTTTATACTATGTTCAACAGAGAAGTGAAACTGAAGGTGCTATCTTCTGGAGTTTTACCTGCATTTTAAGATGGAACACCTTCATACCAGAATCACTGCATAAAATTGTCCCTAACCTTACAGACAGGAGAAGTAGATTTGCTTCCTGTGATCTTTAAACATAAAAATCCTAAAAATCCAATCTACTATTAGCACCGAAATGACAATATTTGCTTTTGCCAATGTCTTTTTGTCTTTCTCAAACCTATTTCCATATTACTGACATGGTGATGTGATCAACACTTCAGGGCACTGCTCAGAAATACTTCAGTCAGCCAGCTACACAGCTGAACGTTAGCAAAGGGACAGTACAAAGCAAGAAATAATACTGTGTTCCATTTGCAAAATGTCAGTCTTCCTATTAGCACGCTGTACTTGACCCTTCTGGCTGGAGAGGTGTCGATAGTTTTATTCAAAACATCGTAGATGACTGTACAGAGACTGGACATAGGTGAAGACGCACATGGGATCTGGCTTGTGACCCATCACCATCATGTCTTCCACTTCTATCAGACGGTCACAGTGAGCCATTTTCCTGTATTAACAATAAAACAGATACAACAAATCAAGAGTTACATAACTGCTTCCAGAATTCATTTGATGCTCTGATTTGAGCACCATTGAAATATTTAAGAAATCGTGAGGTTTATTGGCAGCATTTCATTTCACAATGAATTGAGCAAGGTCAGGCTGGACATTGTTTTTTTTTTTATGACCACAGAATATTCCTGTTCTTTCTGTCTCTTGCTTTATACTGGGATCTGATCTAAAGCCCTGGAGTGGTGGTGCTTTTTTCACTATCATTCACATTC